ACGAATTATAATGAATTATATATATATATATACACATAAACATTTACATAGATATTTATGAGTACTCAATGATGCGGGCTACATTGCCATTTGGCTCACTTGGCGCTGTCACATGTGAGTCCTTCCAAAAAGTGGCGATGAGTGCAAAGAACACGGAGCCATTCTGGTGTTTCCAACGGGATACATGCATGCATATAGCCAGCAATATTGGATGGATTTGATCCAAACATGGAGTACAATTCAATTTATTGCACTTTTTAGTTTGACAATTACTAGCATGATAAACCAGCGATTTGGTGTACCCTATTTTCAGACACACCAATGTGGGTTTCACATGGGTTTTGCAAGCATATAAACATCGCAAATCTTTGATCACCAGAAATTGGGGTTTGCTGGCAAAGTGTATGTGTAAAGAATCAAGTTCAAACTGGCTGTGGCTCTCAAACTGCATGATTTTACATGTAACAACGACCACACAGTATAGGGATTCAACTGTAGGTCTTTCAAATTCCCTTGGTTTGGAGCTTTGAGCCTGCCACTGATTTTTCTTAGTCGTTGCCACGAATGAGATGATATAAACTTAAAGGCACTGAAAGAAAACGGGTAGGTCCCACAGGTGTCACCTGCGGTGTCACAGGTGTACTCAGTTCTTACACTGCCTTAACGGCGGCTATTAGTTGCTGGTGTTTTTTTTGGTTCAGATGAAACAACGAATCACTGCGCTAACCACCACAGGTGACCCCCCCAATAGTAGATGGTGACGATTTACCCTTAGTGATTGTTGGTGTTTGTTGTAAACCATGTTTCTTGTCACCTTTTCCAGGCTTGCCTAGGTAATCCTAGATTGACATGCGCCAACCTTGAGGTATTGCTGGATGTTGCGCAAGCTGAGTGGGGGATCTCAAGGGGGCCATGATGTTTAGCCATTGGGAATAGTTAGTATCAAACCCATCTTTGGGAATCCAATAATCTCCTTGTCCGATGATATTCTCAGGCCAATAATAAGTTTTTGAATATGATTGGACCCCCAACCCTACCGGAATTGAATGAGACTGGATCACTATTTGAATGAACCATGATAATTCAGCAGCCTGAAGTGAGGGCATTGTGGCATGATTTCCCAACCTGATTTGCGTTGTCGCCTTTGGGAAGACCGCTATGGGTGACACATCCGCTAGATCAATAGGAAAGTACATGTTTCACCTCGTTATACCGCATTAAAACTGCTTTCGAATTATCAATAAACCAATACTGTAGATCAATAAATGGAAAATGAATCTCACGTGTTCAATGCATGTTTTTTTTTAAAATAGGGGTCCATTTGAACTTCTATGTCTCGATATGTTTTTGCGCCATTTTGTGCCGGGGTTGAATATCTAATGACAACGCAGTGGACCTGGGGAAAACGATTGCTTTCCTTGACTAATTGCGATATTCATGTGGGGTGACTGACCAACTGCAACATTGACGCTACCATCGTCATGCCAAATCAAACAGGGACCCCCTCCTCCAGAGTCCAGGCTCCGTTTCTGCCAAGAACGGCTGCGGGCGCAGTCCCCGACACCACCCTTGCTGAAGCCCAAACGTCTCAAGGGCGTGGGACTTTATGCCAGCGAGAGGGAGCGACTGGGGGGAACAAATCTGGATCACCAGGTTGGTTAAAGGGAAACTAAAGCAGGAAACCAGGGCTTTGAGGATCAAATATTGATGAATATTTTGGCTTAACCACCCAGCGTGCTGGCTTCGCACAAAAAGTTATATAAGTCGTTTGAAAAAGAAGTGCAGCAAGCCCCCCCAAAAAGGAGACATTAATCTGATGATATCAGGATACATCCCCTCTTGTATGCTCAACTTTTGGGGGCCGGACTACCCAACTCTTGCCAGTGAAACCTCCCCAGCTTGTCTCACTGGGGTGATTTCAAATCCAGGAACCTTGGGTCTGACTCGTGACACGTATCCATCAATTCATTTATCCATCTATTTACCCATCCATCTACCTCACTATATATCGAATTTTCTAACTAACTATTCATTCAACTATCCAACATGATCTAACCCTTTGGTTATTTCATTACCTTACCTAGATAGCAATTGATCAATTGGTGCTTGAACAATTGCTTACCTCATGTATATATATATATATATGTGTTTACATGTTTTACCTATATTTACATGGCTTTATGGGACATATTTCACATTTATATAACGTTAACGATCCACCCATGGGGGTTCTCAACATCACCTCTTTGGCACGCCCGGGGACGCGTGCCACACGGCACCAGGAGGTGGCCGAGGAGGTGGCCGCCTGGTCCGTGTCGCTGACGCTGACGCGGGTCTTGCGCATCATGCAGGCGCAGAAGCTGCAGGCGGAGATGGGGCGGGGGAGACGATGGCCCTGGGTGCCTATTGGGGTACCCCAATAGCTGGTTGGTTTATAAATTTTTATGATGGAATTTAATCTTATTACAATTGATAGTTTAAGAAACCTCCATACATACACCCATGCATACATGCATACATACATACATACATATGTATATATATATATACACGATTATGTGTTTGTACAGTTGAGGATCGAGGTTTTTTATTTATGCATTTGTTTACTGTTAGGGCTTATAAGCTGTCAGAACTAACTTTATAATATTATCAACTATGGAGCTTATAGCATGTGATAACTACTATAGTCAGTTTGTTGGCAAAATCTACACTAAATCTACGGTGTGGCGCCGCAGACTTGGCTAAGTTGGTTGTAAATATCTTGTTATATTCCCCAGAAACCAATCTATAGACTATAGATATATCGAGGGAATTGACCATATATATATATGCACATATATAACACAAATTGGATATATTTATCTATGGTCAATTTGATCTTTGGAAACCAATTGGTGTAACTGGAGGGCACCACATTGTATGGTTCCCAGCGGTTTTTCTGGAACACTCCTGCTGACTCACCAAGACCAAGAAAACCAGGCACAGCTGGAGGCGAATCTTCAGACGGCCGAGGCGAGGACCCCGCTGGATCATCCAATGAAATTTGCCGCGGGACTGGCAGTTGCTGGATCATTTTCCCGACTGCATCTTTCCATGTTATTCCTGTTCATGTGGTCATGAAAGCCATTATAGAAATGGGATGAAATGGGAACATGTAGACAGTCTATATCCAACGAACATTTCATGTTTGCCCTCATGCTGTCCGATATCCCTTGGTGTGAAAACCCAAGCTGATTGTTGAGATTCCCAAAACGTGAACGGATCCAGTACATCTCACATGATCTCACCATGGTTTCTGAGGGTTAGGAGTTGAATTTTAAATGCGGGGATAGGATGAATCATCATCATATATATATACACGTATATATGAATAATATTTATTTAAGCCAAGCAAGGGTGTTGACATGTCTTAACCAGCAAGAAATGGTGAGGTTAGGCACAGATAAGGATATAGGTTTATGATCATGGATGAATTTTTGGTTTCAGTTGGTTATCCGTTTTTAGGTTCGAACATCGGACAGATGCTATTGGCATATATTGTAGCGCTACAAAACTTGAGCCTCCCAAACAAAGGTCGGCCTCATTCAACTCTGTTTCTGTCTCTGTGGAATAGCCAACAGGATGAAACGCGTTCTGGGCGTTCAGTTTAGAATCAATACTATCAACACCTATCAACATCTATCAACTATCACACAACATCACATGGGGGTTTCCTAAAATAGGGTTACCCCCAAATCATCATCCATTTTAATATGCCTTTCCATGAAATAAACCATCCAGCTATTGGGCTACCCTCATAACTATGAGCATGTCGTATCTCAGGTTGAAGAAGCTACTCGTTTGGCCGAAGGACTGATGGAACCATGGTTTGTTAATTAGGTACTCCTCCAACAGTCATCATTTGATACTTAGTCATGGTACCCTCCCAATATCTCCCAATGAAACTGCCGGGCTAGGGGTTTATTAATCCAGGGTTGGCATTATAGGTTTAAGTGGATTTTAGCAAGAGAAAATGGACTTGTCAGACGCAAAACGTGTCATCAGATATTGAACCGGACCATTTTTTCCGCTGTCTATTATTTCTATTCATTTCTTGCCTATAATTTGCGGATTCGGTGGGGCCACCATGACATCTCATTTGTGAAACATGATGGGACATGGTGAGATCATGTGTAGTATTTTCCATCGTTGCAATGCCAAGACATGAATTGCAAGCGTGGGTCCCAATTGAGGGCAGATGTGCCACATTCTGCAGCAGAACGAAAGAATAGATATGACTGGTCATGATTGTGAGCATGTTTTTGATGCTTCTTTGTAAAGTCCAAATGAAACATGTGGGACCTGATTGGGTCATGCACTTGGACAAATTCTCCAAGCCAGGACTTGATTCGCAGCAAAGACACCCACAGGTGCAAATACAGCAAGCGCATCAGCAAGTGCAGATGCCCCAGGCACATCAACAGCCATTGCAGCTAGTGCAGCAGCAAGTGCAGATGGCCCAGGCACATCAGCAACCTTTGCAGCCAGCGCATCAGCAAGCGCAGATGGCCCAGGCACATCAGCAACCTTTGCAGCCAGCGCATCAGCAAGCACAGATAGCCCAGGCACATCAGCAACCTTTGCAGCCAGCGCATCAGCAAGTGCAGATGGTCCAGGCACATCAACAGCCTTTGCTGCCAGCGCATCAGGAAGTGCAGATGGCCCAGGCATATCAGCAACCTTTTCAGCTTGCGCATCAGCAAGCGCAGACGGCCCAGGCACATCGGCAACCTTTGCAGCCAGCGCATCAGCAAGGGGAGCTGGCCCAGGCACATCAACAGCCTTTGCAGCTGGTGCACCAGCAAGAGCAGATGGCCCAGGCACATCAACAGCCTTTGCAGCCAGTGCATCAGCAAGCGCAGATGGCCCAGGCACATCAACAGCCTTTGCAGCCAGTGCATCAGCAAGGGCAGATGGCCCAGGCACATCAACAGCCTTTGCAGCCAGTGCATCAGCAAGCGCAGATGGCCCAGGCACATCAACAGCCTTTGCTGCCAGTGCATCAGCAAGCGCAGATGGCCCAGGCACATCAACAGCCTTTGCAGCCAGTGCACCAGCAAGCGCAGATGGCCCAGGCACATCAACAGCCTTTGCAGCCAGCGCATCAGCAAGTGCAGATGGCCCAGGCACATCAGCAACCTTTGCAGCCAGCGCATCAGCAAGTGCAGATGGCCCAGGCACATCAACAGCCTTTGCAGCCAGCGCATCAGCAAGTGCAGATGGCCCAGGCACATCAGCAACCTTTGCAGCCAGCGCATCAGCAAGTGCAGATGGCCCAGGCACATCAACAGCCTTTGCAGCCAGCGCATCAGCAAGTGCAGATGGCCCAGGCACATCAGCAACCTTTGCAGCCAGCGCATCAGCAAGTGCAGATGGCCCAGGCACATCCACAACCGCTGGTGCAGCCCCCGCATCAGCAAGTGCAGAATGTCCAACATTTGGATCAGATGCCCCGATTTCAACAGCAATCGCAGATAGCATCAGGACAAGCAGAATTCTCATCGCAATCAGCTGGCACCTGGCAACAAGAACTACCGCAGTTGCTTCCGACAAGCCTCACTGAGCGCGGCTCCTTCAGGTCTGGCCTTCCCGCAATTCAGGAACACTCGGAGTGCCTTGGTTATCCCTGGCCGAAAAGGGAAATGCTACAAGGGCTGCCCTCGAGTCATACAACCTGGTATAGGCAATCCATGAGAATCCATCCTTGATTTGGATCATTGTCCTGTATATAAGATTCGCTATTTGGCAAGTAATTAAGTAGTTGAACGGAATGCCTGGTGCATATATAAGTTTCATAGGTACAAGGTTCCCACATCACTCAACGAAACTCGCCTGAAAGTGAATGAGAGCTAGCACCGGTAGTACTACTTGTACTCTTGTCCTAACTATGTTGCTAGGGTCATGTCACCTGCAAGCTCAGGATGAAACCTGCCCCATGTCAGGGTACAACATCCCCACTTGGAAGTCAGGACCACGATTGGCCTGGGGTCATTTCCATTGATCTCCGGTTCTGAGGGACTGTCCGTTTGGATGGCCATGTAAACCGTTTTTTTGTTGTTTACCAGGGTTATCAGTGTTTGGCCTAGTTACATTACATGACCATTAAAAAACATATAAAAATCTTTAAGAACATAGATAAGTGCGCACCTACCTAGATGATCTTAGATGATGGTGATGTTTGTTTCTTGTCCTATCCTTATTGGGGCTGCTAGATGCTCATTATAACTTCCTAATGTTTCCCAATGTTCAGCAGACCCGCATCCGCAGCCAAGGCAAGCATCCTTGCTGAGCCGCATGCTCAGTAGCTTCAACCCCGACCCTCTGACCAGTCCTATTTTTCATGGCAAGGTCATTGACAAGTGGATAGACATTAGGAGTTCACCACAGCGGGGGATGAAGAGGGCACCAACTCTGAAGGCATGTGGGGGATCACGCTGTCCAGGTCCTTCCCACCCAGAGGGAGCTGGCATGGAGGCTGAAGCTAATCTGGGAAAATGGATGAGTTGTAGGTTGATGATTTGTTTCTTAGGCCAGTCTGTGTGTGGACATGTGGAGATAATCAATGGCCATGTTGAATACGTAATGCCCTGCCAGAAGTATGTTTCTTTTTGTGTGTGGAGTAATTATTTTGGCTTAGCCAGATGGGATGATAATGGAGGGTGAATGATATGCACCTCTTCTAGAAACAGATGCCCTACCCAAAGTCGAATGCGGACGTTGTCACGATCAAGGCCCTGCCGAAGATTTCTTGGGACCTGATCGGACCTGATCTAGAAATGGATATCCTTTGGGAATCTGATATGGTTTATCACGTCACCCATATAAATTAAATATGTGTGTATATAATATATAATATAATATAATATAATATCATAATATATATATAATATATATATTATCTCTCTCTCTCTGTGCATGTACTTTCATGCTAAATTACCAGATGGTACCAAAAGTGAGCAGAAATTCTTCTCCACTGCCGAGCCACCGGACATGGAGCCTGCCAGGCCGGACCAGAAACTGCGACTTGGAGGGATGTGCCTTGGTTCTGCATGAAGGGTTGACTTTGGGATGGGAGGGTGAGAAATGAATGGCTGCGTTCAATCCGTGTTGGGTCATGAATCTGAATGAATATATATATATATATATATTTACACATATGTATACATATATATATATATAGATATAGATATCTATGTAATAATCGGGATTACAGTAATTACTTACATCAATTATGGGAACCCCTGTCAAGCAAATCTGAAATGGACGCCGTTTGTCAGTATCAGCTGTTTATTGGTGCAAGACGGCCAGATCAGCACGGCGAACTGAAAAACGATGCTGCAAAGCAAGGGTTGAATATCATGAAATATCCAGCCGCTACAAGTGCAAAACTTGCTAAACGTGACACCAAGTGACCGCCTTCAACTGTGGAGTCATGGGCCGTGTTTAGGGGAGGGGTTCTTTAACCAAAGTTCCTGTTTCAGATTTGTTGAACCACAGACAAGAATTGTCAAGGCTATGATTTTAGCAATCAATGGGGGTGCCTTCAACAATTGGGTTTTGAGTATGTTGGAATGAACCAGTTTCTACGACATGTTTGTGCTGCTCTTTTGTTGAAAGCCACTTTGGAGAAGCTGACTGAAGAATGATGATCATGATGATGATGATGGTGGTGAAAATGAAGATGCATATGAATATTAAGATGAATTTAAAGATGATTATGATGACTTGTTGGTGTTCTTTTCAAATAAAAATCCCCGAGGCAGTGGACAGTGGCACCGGCGCGCGCTGGCACATGGGGCAAGAAGAAAGGTGGTCCCTTGGTGTGTTGCTCCTATGGAAAGGGTGTGTGCCATTGAGAAGTGGAGATCCCATTCTTCGTCAGTAAATTGTAACACCCAATTTTGGGAGATCATTTCAAATCGTAGCTCAGGAGGCTCAGGAACATTCTTTTCAATGGATTGGGTTATAATTTACAGGAAAGCCCCATTTTTAATGGTAAAATCGATGGTTTCCTGTAGGTTTTCCCTTAAACTTAAACCAATCCGTTCATTTTTGGCGATGCTTATAGCAAAGAGTAGTCCCCTAGAGTCATCCTCCCTGCTGAGGGGCGGAGACTTCATTTCAGCTTTCGAAGAGGTCCGACTTCTGGCGGTCGCAAAGCTCTCAGACATGAAATACCAATGGACAAACTCCTGGTTTGCCCATGAAATGATCAGTATACAGTATATGATATACATATATAATCCTATATGCATATATAAATATATATGCTTATTTATTTTATTGTAAAACACACACACGCACACACACACATATATATATATATATATACATTGTGGATCTTCTATGCATAGATGTGTTGATTTCGTTAATTAACCTAGTCTTGTGCACAGCAGTCATTGCTGGGACCACGGAATCTTCACTAGTTTGTGTATTTTTTCCTTCGCCAAATCTGTTGGAACCGTTAGTGGGTCGTTATAATTGATTCACCCTGCCGTTGGCGGTACATGTGCTGCTGCTATACGCTGTTATATGCTTGCAAACCAGCCACATGTTTGCAGAGGATCACACCACCACCCCATCATTGCTCTACTACACTGTCTGTCTATCCCAGCTGCTGGTTATTCTTTACCACCCTGCCGTTGTGATTTTTCAGGGGAGAATCTACAGAAAACCATTACGTGTTGCAATCCAAATGTTGCAATTTCTTGGGGTATGTCAAATCACCTTTTTTCGACAGTAAATATCATTTTCTAGTGGGCAAAACCCATAGAACGCCATTCTTGTCTCGACCTGGGATGCAAAACCACAATCTTCAACAGGTAAATCGGGGTATTTGACCAGCACAACAAAGCATGAAACAAAATGTCATGCCACCACCTAAAAAAAACAACTTTTGGCCGCCAAAAATTATATACAAAGATTATGAAGAAAAACAAATCTAATTCAAAAGCGTAAAAAGTCAAACACATTCCCACATATTGGGGAAAAAAAACTTAAAACCGATGGGAAAACCCATAGAAAAAGTATCGGAAAACCGATGGGAAAACCCCACCTTTCCCCTGTTTTTCTCCAGGACCTGGATGAAGAAGTCTCTCGCATCGCCGACCAACGCGGCGCCGAGAAGACATCGGGACCGGCGAAGACGGCGTCGCACGCGTCGCCGTCGCCGGTGCCGGCGACATCGCCAGTGCCGGAGACCGGAGGGACGCCAACGCCCAACGTGGAGGACATGGCGAGGTCCAGTGTTGGCCGAACGCAGGTCACAAAGGTTTAGAACCAACCCCAAACTCTCCAAAGCTTCTTAGATTTAGGTTTTTCACAATCAAAGTCCTTCAAAAACCACCCTCTCTGCACGCCCAGGAGCCCGAGACCATCCCGTGCCCCAAGTGCAGCGTAATCCGCAAGCTGGCGACCACCCAGACGTCCCCGCCACCTGACCAAAAACGCTTTCTCAGGGCGTTTTGAAGAAAATCGGGGGTGGAAACATGGTGAAACTATTGAGCAGGTTCTGGAAGACCTATGAACAAAACTGAGGTACCTATATCTCCGTTTAGGTGATAGAATCCAGGGTCGAGCTGAGTCGAGCTGCTACAGTAATTGAATGGTGATCTCAACTGTTTGGGTCATCTTAAGTCATGTGGGATGATCCACCCCATTGATACTAATATTTTGTCATGGGCAGCGAAAGCACCAATCAGTAGTATGTCAGACTACGTCGCATTTTTTGGAATGTTTCTGTTCTCCTCCAGTTCGCTTAGAATTGACTGACTTGGGCAATTATTTGAAAATGGGCTAGACTTGCATCTAGTACCAATATGTACCAATCATTTATTCCTTTCTTTGTTTTCAACCATGGAAATGGGATGATGATCACCTATGAGGAGCGTGTTTTTGTCAGGGGTGGCTCCCATGAATGGGGGCATGGGTCTGAATTGACGACCCCACGGGTGCCCACCGGTGGACAGATGGATTGGTTTGAAGGACAAATAGCGTACATGGAAGCATTGAACATCGCCATGAACGTACGGATGTTTTATGATGTCTTGCAATTTTCTGATAAATTTGAAACCAAGCCGTTGATATTACATGTGCCCTTTTTGGAATGGAGATGGTTTCTCCCATTCAGCAGAGCTGATGATTTGTAGGATTGTAGGGCTGGCAAGGAAGTGTGAATTCTGTCCCACCTGCTGTTATCATTTGAAATCCTTCGCACAGCTTTCCAATATATAGTTGCAATACACAAAAAGTCAAGAGAGAGTTTTTGGACTCCCATTCAGGGGAAAAAGTGACATCACTGCAGTCTTTTTTGAGGGAACATGGTGCCTTCTGGGGTGACTTGTTTTTGGCTTCACAATGCCGATGGTGAGACAGACACACACACAGGACCGATGAGTTGGAAGAAGCCACGGCAGCTTCTTCGTGGCATTGTCACGGATGTGGGGGACAGAAACTAAAACTTTGGGAATATAAAGAATGCTTGGCGCCCCAGCCAATATTTTACATTCCCAAAGTTTTAGCTTCCCAAGGTATTCAATCCAGTCTTTTGGAATATTATTTGGATATGCGCCAGTGTCAATCTTGGTGACTTGTTGTTGTTTTTGGCCTGAAACTTTGATATCCTGCTGGTGTTTTAGGATGAACAGTGGAGGCTCATGTCATCCAGCTGAACGATGAGGGCGCGGACTTATTCACGAACAGAATCTAAGAGACACATATATAGTTTACATACTGCTTCGCAAAGTGTGAAAGCTTCATTCATAGTGCTACAACCTGGATTTCAACATTACAAATACATACAAATACCATCAAATACCGTTTCATCTTGTGGAGAATTGCGGTAGCAAACCATGGGTCACTCGCGCCGAGGAGCCTGAGAAGACTGGAAAGGCCTTGATCACTGCACAGGAAGAGAATCGGGTGTTGACGCTTCACTGCAGATGATTCGTCTTTTCATAAAGTCATTAAAATTGTGCGGCTTCTTAAGCAGCAAACATGGTTTGTAAGCAGCAAACATGAGGATATAGGCTAGTTGATCAATCATGGCTGGTTGATCTCTAACTAATGACACAACCCACTGTTCATGGCCCAGATCTTCACTGCACCACCCTGCTGTCCCCGGTTGGATTTGATTCGATTCTCGAATTCTCGAATTCTCGAACCTCGAGCGAGCATGCCATCCCAGTTCTTTGAAAAAACTGCCTAGATGCAGAGTTTCACTTTATCAGTTGTTACTAAGATTTGACTTAAGTTTCCACACTTTATTGGGTGCACCATTAATAACGGTGATTTACCCATTAACAATGGTGATTTTCCATAGCTATGTTAGTTTACCAGAGGGTATTGGGTGCACCTGCAGGTGCACCCAGATCCTTTCCCAGCGTTTTATAGTAAATTATCGTTCCGGCTGAGGAAGCTGGTCGTGCCTCGGCGCAGCCGCTATGGGGGTTCCTCAGGGTTTTGGGTGATACCTATGGAAGACATGTCTATATAACGTATGTATATACATAGATATTTGTAAGATATTTGTTTATGTATAAATAAATAAATATATATATATGAAAACAAATAAGTTATGATATATATATATATATATCTTTATATCTTTATATGTATGTATAAACACGCGTGATCTGACATATTCAGAAACCTCGGTCTAGGTGGTGGTTGCTTGGTAGCCACGAATATCTCAAAGTTACCAGCAGACTCCAACACAGCTCGTTTTCAAAAGGTATTCGGTGATAAGAAGACAACACATTTACTGGGCTTACAGAATGCTAAGATATGTCCCAGTTAAGAAACATAATACTGGGAAGCTCTGGCAGATCTGGCGGTCAGAAGACATGCGACAACATCCAAAACTGCCAGACGCTTGCTGCCGTTCGAAGGTAGCCAACTCCAAGAAAGAGATCGCATACTACAACCACGTCGGCTGCTCAGGAACGGATCTTCGCAGGAGAGTTTGGCGCACGATTCCTGTTCCCAACTTTGTGAGATGGTTGTGGTTAGCAGTGTCGCCATAAAGTGCTGCATGTGTTTCTTCTTTGGGGATGGCCCATGATGGCCCTGTCTCAAGAATTTTCGTCAAAGTATCCATGGCTCGTAAACATCCCATGGCCCAGGTTCTGGTGGAGAAGAATGCTGAACACCAGCAGGAACTCCAGGAGTGGGGCATCTTTTGTCGTTGGCTCGTTATTTGGTTGACATTCTGATTTATGTTGCTGGCCTCATGCCTCTGTTGTGGGAGATGTATCTTGCAGTTAAATGAGAACATGTGATCTGGCGGTGAATCAGAAGTTGAATGTTGAATGTGAATCATCTCCATGTGTGTGTGTGTTTTCTAGATGTCAGCTGTGCCACCGACACTTGGCATCTATTTTCGCCCGCGCATGAAATGTGGGGTACATAAAGACAAATGACTTCAACCATCAATCGTCTAGCTAACCTTTTTTCATCTCCCCGAACGGTTATGTTTGGCGGTGAGGTTGCTTTTCGGACAAATAAGGAGGGGGTGGCATTATTCTGGGATTAGACATGTTTTTCTTTTTTGTTGGCATATCATTTGACATAGTATGATGTATAATGATGGTGTAAATTATTCTTATCTTGTATATACTTTGGTTGTATATTGTATGTGTTAATTTCGGGATATATACATGTGCATACGTGTTGTATATATATATATATAAATATACTAATATTTTCAAACAGGTATTGATAGACAATATCATGCATGGATACATATGCATGATATGCTATAATATATAGAAATACATCACACAGATGATTCACATATTTATGTGCATAGGCTGCAGGCAAACAGGAACACTCTTAAGCCCCGTCGCAGGAGTTACAGGACACGATGCTGCAAGAACGGCGCAGATGTACCGAGGACTGGAAATCCACGGAGTCAGTCCGTGACGCTGAAAACGGGCTGAAAACCTTGCAATTTATGGATGAATTGTATTGGGATTATATCGGGATATGGTGTATATATATATATATACAATATATATATGTGTGTGTTTCATATAATATCTATAAATATCATCTAGAATGGATGTATATATACAGTATTTTTGGGGGGATATCATCTATAATTGCTATACTGGCTATACTAGTGATTTCATCTGAATTATGTGACCTCACGTCGTGAGGTCTCTGGCATGATGGTGAATGGACAGTAGGAACACGCTTGGGCCCGTTGGGCTTTGCTGCTTTATTTTAACTATTTTCAGGTTAGTGACTTATTTTAATTCAGCCAGAGCAATGGTTCGTGAGAATCAGCCAATACTTGCGATCCCCGCAACTAACATCAATTCACGTAGACCCTGCCATGATTTGGGGGTTGGGAGGTTTTCATTATCTGATATGCCAAATACAATCCTACCCCATGGACTATCTACAGTAATTGGAAGGCTTCATCAAAAGAGGACAATAGCCAGTATAACTATAACCCTTTTTCGTTTTTGTTTGGATGACTTATCACCCAATGTGTCTCGCAGCGTGTGCATGTATGAGTATATGTTACATGTGTTTTTGCTGGGCAAGACCGAATTGCTGTGCAATTACATGTCATGTTGCTGGTGCTTTCAACTGACTACCTTCTTGTAATTTAACATAGCTATAGAACATCACCATGTTCAAATAGCAGCATGTTCTATAGCTATGTTGAATTACCACCATTCATCATAGCTATGGAAAATTGCCCTATTTAACATAGCTATGGTAAATCATTTACACATGGGCCATTTTCACTATGTTGAATTACCATGGCTCAGAGCTGATCTCCAGAGATCCCTGCACCATACCTGACTCCCTGGGTCGCAAAAGAGAACCCTGGAAAATCACCATTAAAATGTTGGTGCTTTGGAACCATGGAATGTCATCATCCCAACTGACTTTCACTCATATTTTTCAGAGGAATAGGCCATCTCAACCGTGGCAAACGGTTAAATTATGCTAAAATACCCGAAGGTCACATGGATGGCCCCCCCACATTTTCGGACGGTCCGTCTCGGTCCGTCCGTGTTGCCGGGTCCGGCCGGGTCCATGGAGGACATGATGCAATGGAAGAAACACGTCAAGAAGGCCATCGCGACACATCAGGGATTGGATGTTAGTGTAACTATAGTAACTACAAAAAAATGAGGAACACAAATAAACCCTATAAGTTTTGAGTTTTTTTAGTATACCTTTGAAGAGTTTTGATGCTTCATGATATTTCACCTGTTATTTTTCCGGTTAGATCACCAAGTCCGGAAGGGTACCTTTGGGATATCCAACACACTGATGGAAGGTTGCGAAATCCCGCAGCAGTTGATAGGTGGTTTATCCCATTATATCCCATTACGGCTTTCAAGCATCCAAGCTGGTGCAGGATTTCTTCCATCCACAGTAGAAGTGGATAAGTCAACTGAGAAATAAGTGTGAGTGTGAATATGTTTGTTCACATACTATTATAAAATATATTCAGTTAAAATAATTTTCAAGGCAGAGTATCTATATCCACCATCAAATAGGGCTGCTCCCAACAGCCCAAATGCAAGGGGGCTATATAAACCGGTTAAAAATAGAGGTAAAATTGCCACTTTCTCCCGTGGCAATCATCTACCTACAATAGGTTGGAGCAAGGCTATTTAAAAAGAAAAACACATGACATGAATGACTATTAACCATGATAACCATTCAAGATCAGATGATTTGATTCAAGATAGTAAATTCATATCATTTCATATCCACCACTAAATGAGAAATTCAATTAATATGAACCTCATTAAATATTCATGATATTTTCATTCATGTAACTTCCCGGCTTTGCAGGAGTTAGGCCGCGATCCTGTGCTCTCCGTATGTGCCATGGCAGATCCCTAGGACGCCGGGTCATCCGATTGAGTATAGTATCATACGCTACGATATGATATATCGATACAACAAAAGGCCAATAAAACATGGGAGGTCACAGATGATATTTGACAATTCATTTGGGTTTACCACCCATGGTTTTCCATATTTGTTTACAGGAGGGTAGCTTGAGGACAGTTTGATACCCTGTCCACGCTTGCATGTTAAGCCCCTGTAGATCCCATGATATCCCAGCTAAGGATGTACATCCAGAAGTGAACCTGAAGTAAACACCGAGTTCGTCATCTATTCCCAGCAAAATCATGCAAAAAAAACATCAAACAAAATGGTAAACCCAATATAATCCACTAATCGACTTAAACAAATCCCCAATTTTTGCATATTCTCGCGGGGTTTATACCATCTTTTGGTGATATTTTGGGGATCTTCCGTGGGCATTTAGTCACTAGTCAACCGTCTTGGCCTGAGGTTTGTTCATGTGGGAGCGCGAGGTTACCTCCCTGCGCACCCAGTACGTTGCGCGGATGCGGATCTGGTGGCGGATCATGGAGTTGTTCCTAGCAAATTCCCATCTGGCTATGGGAAATCCATTTAAAAAAATGAGGTTTCAATGGGAAAATCATTTGTAAATGGGCCATTTTCCATAGCTATGTTAAATAACCAGAGGGTATATCAAATTATCACTTGTTGGAGGCAACCTACTGATGAATCATGATGAATCAATCCGAGTTTAGTAGTAAATCCAGGTTGACGGTACAGGGCTGATGATCTTAGGGTGACTGGCAACCGGGGGCATGGCGCTTTCCAAAACCATGCCGAGGTGTTCGAGCCTGCACCTGTTCCCAAATCCGCTCAGGCTTTCACAGAATGGAAGCGGAAAACAAGCCAAATTCAAAAAGCGCGAGGGATTTCAGGCATGGTACATCGGGCGCTGCAGTGGTGTATGGGCTTTCTAGGGTCAAAGATGCAGAAAGAATGATTGGTGCGTAATCAATTGGTGATCTCAAAAGGCAACATTAAAATAATCAAAAGATCGTGAAGGAATGCAAAGGAAACATTATTGTTGTTTAAATCTATTGTATCTGTAAAAGTATATGATCTCATTTTGTTGTTTGGCCATCTAAGTCTGAGCAAACAAAGAAAAATGCAATGGCACAAGGCCACAGGTCCTTCAAACTTTGATGTTCAGCGAGGCAAGATGTCCCTGCTCGTGGAATTGCATTGGGTCCTGCGCGACTGGCGTTTGTCCGTCATGGAGCAGAAGGTCAGCAGAGGGCGACGGAATGACTCTGTACTCGCTTCCTTTCCCAACCAAGAATCATTGAACATGGGCCATCGAGACAGCGCGAGAGAGAGATTTTTGCGATTATTATATAAGGACATACATATATGCATAAACCCTGGGGATACCCCCAGCGAGTGATGATTTGTTCAACCCCGAAACAATAGCGGGTTAAGCGCCTCCTGGCATGGCCTTGTCCCGATCCAGCAACAAGGTGGTGCCTGAGTTTGTGAGTTACCCACCATAGATGTGGAAACTCTGCCATGAATGATATGAATGCAGATCCTTTTCCAAACGGGAAACCATGGTGGTTTTCCGCATGTAAACGTGTACCCTAGGGATCCCTCATATCACCAGGTAATATCATATAGGTAACGGTGGTGGATATATCCAGAGGCGCAGCGGATGAAGACCCAACTCCACGAGAAATGGTTCAAGTCGATCGAACAGGCCGGTGAAACCTCAGGAGTGGAATTGGAAACACAGAGTGAAGCAACAAAAAAAGGGATTCGACATGATTTAACCTACCAACAAATGATGGCATCAGGATGCATCAGGGTGATGTAATGAAGATGTAATGGGGATGCAAGACATGTTTCTGCAAGTTTGGAGTTGAATGGGAGGCTTTCGAGTTTTTCTGCTTTTACAATTATGGTGATTGTAGTGGAGGTAAAACAAGAACGTTTGAGTGCTTTAGCAGCACCAAGAGTGTGGAGCAGCTACTGCGTTTGTGTATATAATTAGTCGCGGTAGCTCTTTGGTAACAAGCCTGGGTTTTGAAAGTTGTTTTCTTCGTTTCACGTTGGAAGTCAAAAGTCCCACGCATTGTGTTGAGATGATTTTCCGGGTGGGCAGATGACTCTCTCCAAGAAAAACACACATATATATATATACACTATAGGTATAAATTAGATAGATTAGATAGATTGGATAGATAGGATAGATAGGATAGATAGGATAGATAGGATAGATAGGATAGATAGGATAGATAGGATAGATAGTAGGATAGAAAGGATAGAAAGAAAGAAAGAAAAAAAGAAAGAAAGAAAGAAATAAAGAAAGAAAGACAGAAAGAAAGAAAGAAAGAACAAAAGAAAGAAAGAAAGAACGAAATAAATAAATAAATAAAAGAAAGAAAGAAAGAACGATAGATAGATAGATAGATAGATTAGATAGATTAGATAGATTAGATAGATTAGATAGAGTAGATAGATTAGATAGATTAGATAGATTAGATAGATTAGATAGATTAGATATATTGGATATATTGGATAGATAGAATAGATATGATAGATATAGATAGATATAGATAGAAAGATAGATAGATTAGATAGATAGATAAGATAGATACGATAGATCATATAGATAATATAGATAAGATAGATAAGATAGATAGGATAGATAGATAGGATAGATAGATAGATAGATAGATGGATAGATAGATAGGTAGATAGATTATATTAGATTAGATTAGGTTAGGTTAGATTAGATTAGATAGATTAGATAGGTTAGATAGATTAGATTAGATTAGATAAGGATAGATAAGGATAGAAAAGGATAGATAAGGATAGATAGATAGATAGATAGATATTGATAGATAGATAGATAGATAGTTTGGTAGATACATAGATAGATAGACAGATAGACAGATAGATTGATAGATTGATAGATTAGATAGATAATACAGATAGATACTACATATAGATAGATTAGATTCGATTCGATTAGATTAGATTAGACTAAAAAAAATCAGGATAGATAAGATAGTTTAGGTAGATACGATGAGATATATAAGATAGATAAGATATATAAGATAGATAGATAGATATATAGATAGATAGATAGAAAGATAGAAAGATAGATAGATATAGAGATAAATAGATAGATAGATAGATAGATAGATAGAGAGATAGATAGATAGATAGATAGAGATATAGATAGATAGATAGATAGATAGATAGATAGTTAGATAGATAGATAGATAGACAGATAGATCGATAGATAGATAGATAGATACATAATTTCGGTAGATAGATAGATAGATAGACAGATAGATAGATAGATATATGGATAGAGAAAGAGACAGATAGATCCTTAGATAGATAGATAGATAGATAGTTAGATAGATAGATAGATAGACAGATAGATCGATAGATAGATATATAGATAGATCGATAGATAGATAGATAGATAGATAATATTGATAGATATATTGATTAGATTAGATTAGATTCGATTAGATTGGTTAAAATAAGGATAGATAGATAGATAGATAGATAGATCGATAGATAGATAGATAGGTAGGTAGATAGATAGATAGATACGGATAGATCGATAGATAGATAAATAGAGAGATAGTTAGATAGATAGATAGATAGATAGTTAGATAGATACATAGATAGACAGATAGATAGATAGACAGATAGATAGATAGAGAGAATCGTGGTCTCATTCGTTTCTTTATTGATTATCCGATATCACACCCATCCTAGATGGGATGATTGTGCCCAAAGTCCAAAACCTTCTTGGGACGGAGCCCGCAAACCAGCTGGCGCCACGAGTTGTGCCATGGAACATGGCACCAGGCATCCTATGCTTGGGGCCGTGACATGGCACAGGGCAACTTGACCCACATTGGGGGGGTGGTCATCAATCCATAGGGCCCTTCTAGGTTTCCAGAATTCCCAATGACTGGTGGGATGACCATAAACCACATTTCATGCTTTGACATATATATATATATACCCATATGCCTCCATGTATGGTATATTTACCTACAAAACTGGGTCATTTATGGGGTAAATGTCGGTAAATGTTGGTAAATTTTCCATACATGGAACATATTGGATATATATATATATATAGGAATATATTTGTTAGCAGCGGTCGTGGAAGATTCTATTATGATCTTGATGATGCAGTACTATCCTGCTAAAAGCACGCTCTTTTATACAGCTTTACGCATTTTTTTTGTGTGGCACCCTCTGGTAGTTTAGCATGATCTATGGAAACACGTACCAACTAAATAATTCGACAAGGGATAGAAAACAATACGTTAAGGTTCATGTTTCCTTTTGATTTTGTAGTGCTATCCTAATTTTCCATTTTCCCTGTTTCTTACTTTTTGTGTGGTATTTACAGCATCTAAAATCTCAAGATGTTAAAGCCCTTTACCGTACACCAGTTATAAGTCGGCTATAAGTTATAACCCCATTTATGGCATGTTAACCACAACTCCTAACTGACTTGTAACTGCTATTTCGGGCCATAACTGCAAGGTTCGCCCAAGAAAACCTAGGCCTGAAGCATTTTGCCTTTGCGGGTTGGGTCTGGCAGAAGAAGTTCGGACACTGGGAGAGGCGCCCGGTTCTGTGGAGTGAAACATCACGGGGTTGCAGGTGGATGTGTATGGGGAGAATATGGGAAAAATAGGGAATATTGTGGGAAACTTTGAGTCCAGGTCTTTGTGGGAGCGCAGTACAACCCCTCAAAATATCATTTAGATCATGTGAAAATTGCACTCCCAGGAGGTCCCGTTCTGGGAACTTTTGGGAATATGATGGGGCATTTTTTGGGAATATGATAGTTGGTAGATGGTATGTTCATCCCATTATAGTCCCATTATCCGCAATGCTTCATAGTTCATAGTTTAGTTGCCAATAGTTTTGCTGCCGGTATTTTTCATTCACAATATGTCACTGTTTCTGGAAGAGCATGGGAACATGTTGGGAATCAACGAATCTATCTAATGAATCTAATGTGAATGATTGGTGGTGGTTTCATTCTAATAATCAAATGGGAATGATGGGAATTATATTTACTGTGGGGGGGATGTTTGTGGGAATTATTTTTTGCTGGGAACTTCAATTCACTGGAGTATAAGACATCACCACCCTTTTGGAGGGGTGTAAGCAAGGGGAAAAACCCGAGGGGGACGGCTAGTTGTTTGTTAGACCCCCTACATCCAAAAACAATCACGTCCCCGTCCCCCTAGTTTTTTTTGAAGAAAGGGGTGACCTACTCAAAATGCAGATTGCAATTAGAACGTGCTTTGAAAAATAGATGTATGCTAACATATTTTTACTCCCCTCCTAGAAAGTACGTCTCAACTGTAGCTGCATTTAGGATACGTCCCCCTATCTTAAAAGGGTAAAGACTATAAAACTATTTGATGGGAATATCATGGGATACAACCAACAATGAAACTCTTTGAACAATATGGAGATGTTCAACCCCTACTATGGGATGATGATTCCCTGAGCCCCAGGATGACTTATGATCTAACCATGGAGACCAAGCCAGTTAGCACACGTGGACGCCAACGAAAAAAACACATGGGAGGTAGCAGTGAGCAGAATGACCATTGAAGATGAGAATGTAGCAGGTTATCTAATGAGATGCAAGTGTAGGTATTTCAGATCAATTCAGTATGTTTGTAAGCCCTAGGCCGCCTAGGCCCTAGAAACCATGATCCAAGCTGTCCATTTTCCATCCCATAAAGGGGGATGATCGCCATGGCGAAGCTCTCAGGAAAAGCAGCAGGAATGTGCAGTTCACACTGAGGACGGTCCCCGTCTTTGTGGTTGGTCAACACAATGTTAAAGATCACCTTTGGAAGGTGACATGATAAGCAGAAAAGGTGGCTTTTGATGAAACACATATCAGGGACCGCTGGAATAAGATGGAATAAGTGATGCTAGTGCCACATCAGCGTTTCGAACAGCTCAGGACCCATCTGCAACCCCCAAGAGTTGAGACAGCCTACCAAAGAGGAATGAAGGATGAAAGGTGATTAAAAAGCCCTTAGTGAAGCCAAACATTGTTGGGGCGGGTACCCCATTATATTCCAGTCTATGTGCATTAATCTTGTGTTGATACCCCAATGTTGTCGGTCAAATCCCCATTCATAAACCATGTATGCCATCTTCCTCCAATTTACCCTCTGGTAATTTAACATATATAGCTATTGAAAATGGCCCATTTATATTTGATTTCTATACCTATTAAACATGGTTATTTTCCATGGTTATGTAAACGTTTACCAGGGGGTATGTATTCCATTGAAATCCAATCGCCTTAGCCAGGGCACATCGCCTTTAGGAGATGGTTCTACGCCATGGACACTGCTGTGCGATACTTTGCCTTCCTTGCGTGGTATGAAGCCTTGATGGAGGCGGATGGTTTCGGAGATCTAGCCACTGATTATGTTACGGTTTGCGAATTGGAACACATGTTTTTTTTCATATATGTTTTTTTTGAAAAAGCCAACTCCATAGGGTTTCCAGGTAGTGTATAATTTATACATGTGTATATACATTAGTATGTGTTATCGACGTAAGAGGCCCGGTGTATGATTGACTTTTAATTCTCCCCGCTTTCTTAAAATCAAATTACGAGGACATGATCTCTGACCTGGTCAAGCCTTCAGGTCTCGATCTTGAGATGTGATAGATTATCAATACCAAGTTAGAAAAAACACCTTTAAAGTGGGATTCACCCAATGCCATAAACCCACCATTTGGTCCGATGGTGCTGACTTTTGGATGCTTTATGACATTGGTTTTATTACAGTACTATGGATGATATGGATGCAAAGCTCCTCCAGATCTATCCACAGTTTACCATGACGTTTGCCCAGCCAGGTGAAGTTGCAAAACTTCAGGTTCCAGTTGCTTGGGAAGAAGTCTGCCTTCCTGAAGGCGAAATGTGGGGCTTGTTGTGGCAAAGTATCTATGGAATTTAAAGACTGGTTTGAAGTGGTTTGCTGTAAATTACATGTATATCTAGTTTTCTATCTTTCTATCTATATATCTATATGTTTTTTCTTTAATATGTCCATGATGAGTGCCTTCTCATGAGGATCAAACACGTTGTGGATTAAACACCCCCATGGTCCTAAGTATCTGTAGATTCCAGACTTGTTGCCTTGGTTTCTAGGGGGTGATGTTTTCAAATATCAACGGGTGATGGGATCATGTTATGGCCTCCTTGTATCCACCTGTGATCATGTCCAGAAGAATGTTTGAAACAGCTGCAGGTTGATCTATCTCACATTTTCCAATTCATTCATCAAATTATGTTATAATTGTGTTATCTGGTTGTAGGTATTCAAGATGCATCTTGGGAATTCTGCGCCAACTTCCTGACTATGGGTGTTCAACATCCACAAAAGTGACATTTCAAATAGATAGTTGATAAGGTCATAAGCTCTTGGTGTTGGTTGTTAGTGGTTAGTCACCCCCAGTTTTGCTGGGTGGGTCACCTCACTCAGGGCGGCATCCCATTATGTTCCATGATATCCCTGCGTTTCTTGAGTTGATAACCCCGATGTTGTTGATTAAATCACCATTTATGCCTATTTATACCACTTATATAAAACCCCATTAAATCCTATAAAACCGGCCTCATATTAATTTTCCCAAACGAGTTATGGCCATTAAAAAAATGATAAGAACACCGGTTAGATCTTGTTGGAGGGTCCGCGAAAAGCACCAGGCAGTGATGGCCTTTGATGCCTCCGTGTCGTCCATGTCAATGCGGGCCATCTTCTACGCCTGGGTTTGGAGCACCCCAGCCATCCAGGTGCCGGGACCTGGTGGGGGATCATCCCAGGAGTTACTCACGGACTTAGTTTGGAGGATCATCCGGTTATGACATGGGCGAACAGTTCACCCAGTTATAAATGGGAATTAAATGGGAATTAGATATAAATAAATGGGATAACTGGATAACCTACTGAATGGAGGCTTATCACCAGGAAAATTCACCAGTTGCGATTGCTGGGATGATCCAGTAGGGGCAGCCATCCCAAAATGATTTGATCGTGTTCTACTACGGGGAAAGCATGGAGATGCGCTGTGCATGTGGGCCCCGTAAAGCCACCTATAGGGGGTTTTCTTTCAAGCGTAAATCCCTGAAAACCAAAGCCATATCACTGGAAAGGGATGTCCACCCTTACCGCTTGCCCGCTGTGCAGGGCACTCCATTTTCCAGCATCTTGGTTCTGAAAAAAAATGCAGGTATGTGAAGTGGCTCCAAGTGCTGGACCACAACAAAAGTCAAAGATAGAAACGGGGCCTAGCAAAGCAGGTGAATGCTTGACATGTCTTCAGATGACCAGGCAGAAAGCAGAGGAAGCTGAGCAGGTTCATTGGGTCCAATGTCAATTCCAAGAGCCGGCAGATTTGGATTGTTTTTTTTGAGCCAAAGATTTGGAACAAGATCGATTAGGGTTTCGGGGAATGGATTCCCACAGTCTTGATCCACAGCCAATATCACAACTCCATTAATCCTTGGGCAATAGCACAAACCTTAATAACCTTATTATTATTGGTGTTCATTCCAATTTCACCATGTGAACCCCCACTGCTTCAACTGAAAGTTCTTCGCCGCGCTGAGAACCGGACCGCCCTGAAAATTTGGCTCCTGCCCGCATGGACCAGAGCTCCCGACGCTCGGCTGGGACTGTAGGTTGAAGACATTTGAAGACTCAACCCATGACACCGATGGTCGGTATCGGAGACTGTCCCAAAATGGTTCTATTTTCGGCTGCTGGATTTATGATGATTCACTGCAATAGATCCAGATTGATCATAGCAATCACCAAAAATCGTACTGGACTGGCGAGCCGGGCACATGGCACTCAGACGCCATAGGTCAGTTCGATGTCGTTTTTTTGTTTCTTCCATTTCTCCCTCGATGCTTTGCAACGACAATGCAGCATTTACCATCGAAATCACAAAATCCACATGCATTGCCGTGTGTATCTATTATATATATATATTATTTCATTTATTCATTTATTTATTCATTTATTTGTTTATTTATTCATTATTTATGAATAATACATGCATATAAAGTGGTAATTTTCATATGCCATGCATGGATCCATTGCATGTCAATGACCTGGCTATGTCATTCTGCCGAGGCTTTAACTTGGCCTTCTGCCTCTCTGCTTGGGACAACGCTCTGATGCTTGGGATAAAAGATGGCCAAATGGGCACCAGCCATTTGGGGAAAATGTCTTTGAAACAAGAATTATATGTATATGTGTGTGTGTCTGTATGTATGTAATGTAATGTAATGTAATGTAATGGAATGGAATGGAATGGAATGTAATGTAATGTAATGTATGTATGTATGTATGTAATGTATGTATGTATGTATGTATGTATGTATGTATGTATGTATGTATGTATGTAATGTGATATAATGTAATGTGATATAATGTAATGTGATATAATGTAATGTGATATAATGTAATGTGATATAATGTAATGTGATATAATGTAATGTAATGAAATGTAATGTAATGTGTATGTAATGTAATGTAATGTAATTTAATGTAATGTAATGTAATGTATGTAATGTTATGTATGTAATGTATGTATGTATGTATGTATGTATGTATGTATGTATGTATGTGTGTGTATGTATGTGTGTGTATGTATGTATGTGTATGTATGTATGTGTATGTATGTATGTGTATGTATGTATGTGTATGTATGTATGTATGTATGTATGTATGTATGTATGTATGTATGTATGTATGTATGTATGTATGTATGTATGTTATGTAATTAATGTATGTATGTATGTTATGTAATTAATGTATGTATGTATGTATGTATGTACGTATGTATGTATGTATGTATGTATGTGTGTATGTATGTATTTAATGTAATGTAATGTAATGTAATGTAGTGTAATGTAACGTAACGTAACGTAATGTAATGTAATGTATGTATGTATGGATGTATGTATGTATGTATTTATGTATGTATAGCCCATGTGGTTGAAACAAGAAAAGATCAACGCCACGCCTTCCGAGCGTCCTGTGAAACAGCCGGAATGATTAAGGACAGGGGCAGTGATTTCCAGCTGGCATCATATCGCACGCCATTCCTATTTCCAGCGTGCGTGGATGAAGTATTTCCGACCTGAGAACGTGCCGCGGCGGCGGTGAAGTGATGTTGGTTTGGTGGGTAGGAAACAATGGATTTATTGTGACCATTTGATTCCAAACATGCTCAATATGGTAGTCCATACAATAAGCAAGAGCCACACCTGTTTGACATGTTTGACCAGTACGCGCGCAACAATATTGCTGCTTGTGTCTGGAAACTTTGTGTTTGTTTGATACTAGACTTGGGTATATCATCCCAAATTTGATCACTGATCAGCATTCGTCCCCTTCAAAAGTGCCATTTTGCGGGGATGCCCCATTGTGATACTCTTGCAATAGATGGAACCTCCCAAAATTGGAAAATATCATGTTTGGATTCCATGCGTTTTTGGCGCGGAGAAGTTTCTTGATTACCTGAATAGAAGCAGTCAGAAGCCCCAGACAAGCCGATGGCCTTGTAGTTGTTGGATGTTGCAATGAATGGGGTATACCTATCTATCGATCCATCCACCCACCCATCTAGTATTTATTTATATATCCATCTATCTATCCAGCCATTTGCATCCATGTAGCTATCCTCTAGATCCATACAAACCCACATTAAAACCATATAAATCCATTTAAAACCATATAAATCCATCTAAAACCATACAAATCCATAAAACACCCATCAAAACATCCATAAAACACCCATTAAAAAAAAAAAAACATAAAACAACGCTAAAAAAATCCATATAACACCCATAGAAAATCCATAAAAAAAGGATATCCTCCTATCCTAACGGCTTGGTGGCTAGCCATCCCAAGGGGACAGGCTCCAAAAAGCCCAGGACTTGCGTCCGCTGCTGCAGGGCTGGCGCCTGCAAGTCAAGCGCGCCAACGAGGCGCAGAAGATCTACGTCCAGGTGGAGAAGCGGCTCGGCCCTGGCAGTGATCATTCATTGATTAAGAACAATGATCTATATATCTATATGATATTTAATGATTGATAGGTTGATTGATTGAATAATAGTGATTGGTAGATTGATAGTGATAGATGGATAATGATTGATAGGCTGATAATGATAGATGGATAATGATTGATAGATTGATTGATCAATACTGATAATAATAATGAATAACAATCATCCAGATACCTAATGATTGATAGATTGATTGATCGACAATCCATGAATCAATGACTGATGATAATGATAGATGGATAATGGTGGATAGATAGCCGTGATTGATAGATGGGTAATGATGGGTTGATGACTAATAAACGGATCATGATTGACAGATCATGATTGATAGTTTCTGATTGATAGCAAATATCAACCAATATGTTTGATAGATGGAAACTGATAGATAGCAAAGATATGATAGGATTTCAATGGATTGTTTATGATATGGTTACTATAATGTAGATCATATTTGCAAATGCCATATGAGTCATAATATGATAATAGAGGGATAGACACATAGATCGCATAGATAGAATATGATAGGATCACTAGATAGATATCTTGCTGTGTTACATATAGGTATATTTACATTTATGTTTCATTTGTGCATGACTGATTGTGTTCAGACGCAGGCGCACACGAAGACACACACACACACATATATATACATACATATCTAAGATATCCACATGCATAGATATGTGTTGCACCAGACAGAATCGTGAGTGAAGTGCATGATTATAGTGACCTGATGGTCCCAAAGACTCACCCTAGAGATGCAGATGAGAACTCAGTTGCAGTCGAGCTTTGGATGATCATCGTATCATCAATTGAACAACCTAGTGAACCAGTGAATTAGTCGTTAGTGATAATTCTAAAGTCAGTGTATTCACTTCCAGCCCATAATAAATGTGAGATTTTATGATTGTTTATGATGTTGCTTTCCTAGCCATCCTCGGCTCGGGCCGGCGCGCTTAAGGAAGGAAGAGGCAAACACGTGGTTTGTTTCCCTCCTTTGCTTCGTATACTGGTGCCTTGGGTGAAATTAGTGAAAAAAGAAGGGCTTTGCATGGGCAAAGATCAAGGATTGATCAAGATGTTGAACTAGACAACCTTGCCTCCATTTCAATCATGACTTGAAACAACCATACTGTAAATAATGTGTGTATGTGCGTGTTTGCGGTTAAATAGAACCTTTGCAAAATGCCAACTAAACCTGGGCCTGTCACTGGTACTGATCAGGCGCATGAAGTTGATGCAACTTGGCTGCCAAAATCCCGAATGGCTCCCACTCAGAGGGTTTCTTTCCACAGCCAGGAAATCAGCAACATGTCAAACAGACTTCGCAGACACGTTGGGTTAATTTATCAGATGATCATCCATTATATTATATTATCTATATATATATGACACCCAAGCATGGCGCTACCAGGATTCCTGGTGAATCGACCAAGGCCCAGCCGTGCGGTGGTGAGTTACGTTCCAAAACTTGCTGCTTGGATGAGATGGCCCTGGCCCCTACACCATACGCGTATCCTCCCAATGTACTTGGATAGGTAGACTTAGTGATCAACCTTGCTCTATAAGAATCTCTATAATATATATATATATATGCATATATGTGTGTACATATCTGCATAATTATCTAATTATAGTTATATATATATATATAGATGCACACACCTACATACTAATATATATATATATTATATACCTAGAGACTCAAGAACCTATAAAAAAGAAAGTTATTAAAAATAACCAGGTTTTTGCGGGGAAAACCAGGTTTTGCCCAAAACATAAAATTCATATACCCTGCTACCCCCATCTGATATATATATATATATGTATATATATATATATATGTACGCTCATGATGCTGAAGCTGATGTTTTCCATCATCGGCAACGTGATCGACCGCAAGTGGTGGCGTCTTGGACAAAAAATGGGAACCACATTTCACATTAGGCACATCACATCACACTATATATCTTAAGATATATGTACATATATGTAAAACTCAAATAATGAATATATATATATATATCTTCTATATGGCGCTAAGGCTAAGACTGCGGCACCACGATAAAACCAGCTCGTACCCACTCTGAGTAGGCACCTTGCAAGTACCTCTCTAACACCCGCCTCACCTGTTGTGATGGGTGAACACGCCTTGAAAGGCGTGAAGCCCTCCCTATCAGATCTTCGTCCGGTTGGACTGAATAAACTGCTGGATTAATTACGAAGCCCTTTGAGCGAGCCTGGAAAAGCATGAGTAGAAACACTTTGTGCAACGCGTGGCTTTTGGGTTGAAACTGAAATAGTCTCCGCCCTTCCTGATGTACCACGGCAGCTGCAACAGCATATCGCCGCAGAAAACGCAACCCCTCTTCTGCATATTCTGTAGCATCTGGATTGTAAATCCAAACATCACTGCTGTACACACCCCGCATACAAGCGTTGAGTGCCTGAACACATTCAAGCGCGATTTGGAGTAAAGGTGTTTGGCTCAAATCCATAGCCCCAAGTTCAGCTTCGATCCAAGCCAGCACAGTAGTGGTGACATTGCCCTTGTGCCATTGAGCACTTGGATAATTTTGCGTAGACACACCCCATCCAATTGATTCTTTGGATAGCTTGCTGATGTATGGTGTCTCATGGTTTCGCTTGCACCAGCCCATGAACTTGTCGGATAATGCTCTGAAACGACCATCTATTGTTGAATCCGGTTCCATTTCACTGAGCAAGCCAACAACTGCACCCACCAGGTTTCTCCCCACTCCAAGATGCACAGAGTGAAATAAATCAAATTGGAAAAGCGCAGTCTTTTTTCCAGGTTCGTGCAAAAGGGATGCTAACGCAGGTTCAACAGACCATGGGTCCTCGGTGTGCATAGTTTGCAGCCACACAGGGTGTCTAGAATGCAAATTTGAGAATCCTGGAACACCTGGTCGCCCAGCCAAACACAAGTGGCAGAATCCCTTTGGGGGCTCCTTCACATCCTTGCGCTTCTGCGCTGTTGAAAATGATCTCTCGAGATTTCCTGCCTTGCACAACCAAGGCCAATCCCCAACAACTGCTATTGCAGCAATGTAGTGAGTAAGTTTGGTGTAAGGATTGACCACACCTTCACTGACCATATACTCAGCTTCACTTGCGATATGGCGCATCAAGCATTGAAACACCTCTGTGTTGGCAGCATCCTTTTTCGGCAAACATCCCAGGATATACCGATGGGTAAACGAATGACCCAAGAAATTGCAACTCTGCTTCAGATAAGGTTTTCTCACCTTTTTCCCAGCACGTCGTTTGAGAAGCTCTTTCTTTTCTTTGGGTCCCAGTCCAAAACCAAGAAAGCTGTGAGCGGAGACCACAAGAAATGGTAGATGTTTTCTAGATCGGCCTTCATCCCCGTGAACTGCTATAGGAGCCGTGCGCCCCAGACATAGCCTGCCTTCAGAGCTCAATTTTCGGTATTGGCCCCAAAAAAACTCCAAAATCTTCTCTTCCCTGCGATGGTCTGGCCGACGCAGCCCTGTCAAATGTGCCAGTTGTTCGATTTGAGAAGGTAGGCACACCAGTCTCTTAATTTCAGCACTGGAATTTTCTTGGTAGGCCCCTCTGTCCCCAAAGGTGTCATTGGGATGGGAAGTGGAAGCTTTAACTTCTTGGCTAGGAGGTTGCGGCAATCACGCTCTGCATTGTGTTCATCTATTCGGGAAAGTTCTACCAATCCCTTGGAAGATGATGCCTTTTCAGTACCCAAGTCAGCAACGAAATCGCGCGCCGTTCTGACAGCAGCGCTGCAACTAGCCTCAGCGCCGCCAGCAATAATAAATAAATAAATATATATATATATATATGTGCATGTGATGTATAAAGTGTCATATATATATATAGAGCACATGCTCACACATATGCGTGAAGAAAGTGCCGTGAGTAGTGAACAAACGACTCTTGGTGTTCTTCATCACATTTCGAAAGAAACATTGGTGACCAACAGGGCGAAAGCTGATTTTTTTCACAGCTGCGAGTGGGGTAAGGGCTCTTGCACGTTGACCCCTTTGTGTGAAGTGCCCCCCAAATTATTCAAACAAATTGGTTTTGTTTACCTTTGTCAACGGTAGACTTTAATTACTTCTTTCCCACCTCTGGCGGGTGTTTGAAAGATCTGTACACTATGTATACCATGTAATGTTGGCTCTCTGAGGAAAAGCGATCAGCCACCACGGTGTCACCGCCAAGCCTTTCGTTTCGGCATCCAGGCATACCTTGGCTGGTTCATGGCTGCGACAAGAGGGAAACCTTAAATGCAAAACAACATCATACTAAAACAATCCATTTAAATGTATTACAATCAAAACATCTGAAAACACGAACCAGGGAACTTGAGAATTTATCTATCAAAGCTGATTCCAGCATTGCAGGCCCACATGCCTCTTTTGAAATGTAAAGAACTATCATTTCACTCCATCGATCTCTGGCATGCCGATATCCGTAGAGAGAGTTTGTCCATCTCCACTTTGGGTCATGGCACAATCCTACCTTCCAAATCATGGGAGATTGTTTCTGGGAAAGAACATTGATGCGATGACTTGCATGACGCAGGACGCTTCCAGCAAGATCATTTGCACCTGGCATTTCAAATCGAATCCCGAGTGCCTGGGACTCAGCCAACACATGTGAGAGAGGTGACTCAGCCGGTTCCTGGTCCATGATAGTAGGCGCCCTTGCACGGCGAGGTTCAGGCAAAGGGGCTAAAGAAACCACCCGTTTTCTGACAGGTTTTGAAACCGCTGTTGCCCTTGCAGGTTTAGTCCAAGGAAATGCTCCATCGGATTCCTTAGTTGTGATACACATCATTGATAAATAAAAATATAAAAATAAAAACATGAATACCACCTTGGAGGGATGAACCAACATCAATTAACAAGAAAAATAAGTCGGGTGACTGATCGATGGCATGTCAAGAGTTCCCACAGCTCTTCGTCAGGGTCTTCCAGGCTAGGAGTTGAAGTGCGCATGGGCACGTTCCCAAAAAGCACATAGGAAGCCAAGTGGGGGCAGCGTGATTTGAGCAGCAAAAGGCTCCATATATCATATATATGTTCACTGAGTGCAAGTTGTGTACAAGCATGTGATATGATCAACTATATATATATGGTTTGTGGTTTTGGGACATCTGCTTCAACTTTCCAGTCTGAGCCCAACACCCCATTGCCAATCTCGCGGCTGAGGCCTCTGACGCCACGGCCAGCTCTGAGACCTGGCAGGATCGAAGTGGGACGGGTGAAGTAAAGCTGGCTCCTACAGAAAAAAAATATATAAATGGTATAATTTGTTGGATTTGGCAGAAATAGAAACATTGTAAATATACATATGCCGACCATTCCAAACGCCTTGGTTCCAATTTTTTTCTGCTGGCATCACCCCTTCAGCCAGATCTCAAGATTTCAAGGTGTGGCGACAACCACACTCTACTTTCGCTGTCGCCTTTGCACAAAATCACTTTCCAGGTATCAATTCATGAAGTTCTTTGTTGCATCTTCAAACTTGAAAAAAAGTGTTGATCACGCAAATGGCAGTGATGTGCTTGGCTGGTCATCCAGGTTTTCCCGGGAAAAAAGTGAACAGATTCTAGGCCTTAGCATTCTTAGGCTTCTTGATGCGCTTGGTGACAGGTTTCTTGCCACCCCTATTATTCTTATTTGCAGACCCCGCAGGCTCTTGCTGCGACTCCGATGCCTGGGCCTTGGCCTTGCCTTTGGCTTTGGGCTTGGGCCCAGATGTCTCATCCTTGCCCCAATACTTCTTGGCATTCCTGGCGGCGAGGATTTGGTTTCTTGATCATGGGAATTTGGTTTATAAAAAGGGGAATTGGTTGATGATGGGGAAAGTGAAGCTGAACTTAAAATTGACCAACATAAACCTTGAGGTTAACTACCGACAAACTTGACCCATATATATATATATATATTTGTGGCAGTCCTGATCTTGAGCTCCGCCGCCGCTGCACGACTGAGCCTGATCACAGAGAAACCAAAAAAATCTGAACATAAACTTAAGTGTAGCAATTTGATCATTGAAGTCACTCAGGGCTTCACTGGAAGGTCCCATCGCGGATCCTCTTTTCAGCAAGGTTGTAGAACCTAGGCTTGGGAACAGGTATATAAATATATATAGCAATTCAAGCTAGTTTTTCCCCATACTTTGGGGTATACCCTTGTTGGCCCATTGACGCCAAGGCGGGAAACTTATCCGTCTCCCAGCCGCAGACTTCGCCTTCAGTCCACGCCTCATTCAAAGAATCGTACGCCGCATCAATCTTGGTGATCTCGGATTGGATAGTCCCGCAAGTCCTCAATTGGAATGTGGAAAATGTAGTTGTATATATAGCATGATTCCATAAATTTTGCTTGTGCACATTGATTTGATCCAACATATATTTTCACTTGTTCAATTGCTTTTCTAGGGACTGCTTTGCTGCAGAGTCG